GAGTCTCATATTATAGGATGGTAGTTTAGCTTCAATTGACTTATGAATTCAACTATTAAAATTTCATATCAATTGATTACTATTGTTATGTTCCGATAAGTATAATGAATGGTAACTTTTGGGATCTATTTATGGACCAATACTATACAAAAATTTTTTATCGTATAATTGGTAATTAACAAAACTATACATATTCATGTCCCTCTTATTATGAGCTTTATTTTGATTTATAAACTATTATTCTACGATTTACCGTTCTTAAGTTATGCTCTGTCTATTAATTACTATCTCCGTTGTTCACAGCCACATTTGACTAAATCTTGTACAAATGTTGTTTCCTATTTTATGGTACGATGTGGTCTGTTTGGTTAGTATATAAACCCAATATGTTTGAAATACATAATTCTGGACGTAACAGATATGGCTAGTCAGAAAGCAGAACCGATAAATACTCTAGACTGCTCGTACGGGTTTTATGCATCATTGGTCGGATCGATAATTTACTGCACTATAATTGTCAGTATCATTACATGATACATTAACAAGGCACACAGGCCACAACTATATAACAATTATTTAGATTTTAATTCATACAAACAGTGATGAATTTGTAATATCCCAATGAGTAAACAATAAAAGAAATTCTGGCATTTTCCCGAATAATGTACAAATGTATGAATATATCTCACATCACTTTAACTGAACTGACTTGACATTAACAAGATCCAATCTGCTTTTGTTTCTTATTGAAACAAATATTCTCCTTTATTAGTTTGTGTTAAACTAATCTGATAAACGTCAGAAACTCAAATTTCTACTCAATTAGGATATTACATAATTATCATTATTTTTACTTCTGATAAGTTTTATGCATATAAATGTTTTGATATTTCTGATAGAATATATACATATCTAGACTGGTTTGTTGATAATGACATAATGTTTCAATGAAATATTCTTTTACCTTTAAACCATGTTGTTTAAAATCGATCTGATATTCTAGTTATATTTCATCTCTTCATCAGCTGATCTTAACAATTTGGTTAGTGTTTTTTTATAATTTAATCAGTCAAATCTGAGCTTTGTTTGATAACAAAAAACGAATATCTAGCCGTATGTTTTTTTGATATGCTCAATATGCTCCGTCTGGAGCCCTTCTGAGGGTACTGCCGGTCTAAAGCCCGGATACAAAAGAGGGTTGAGCATGAGGTTAGCTACCCTATCCTGTAGTAAACGAACTCACTAATAAACGCTAACGAGAAAAAAATAATTCAAACCATTTAAACTCTATCCTGAAAGTTAGAAGGTCTTCATTTAGAAGAGTTATGAAGTCTCATAATAAAAGCTAAAATCTTTGGGATGTCACGAGGATGATGTTTTTTCTGATAAACAGAGCAACGATTAATTTAGGTAATTAGAAATAACTACATCAGTTATTTGAAATAAAAAATTAGTATTAAACTATCTAGTCAAGTTGAACTATCTGATTTAATTAATGTAAGTGTAGTAAGCCCATTCAACTATTGTATTATTTATCTGATCACTGTCATTTAGACACTTGATCCACTATGTAAATTTCTGTATGAGTTTGATTGAACACATGTCAATTGTTAATCTATTCTCCCATTGGTGGGATACTATTTATTGGAGTCAGATACAGAAGGAATTAGCCTCTACATAAGAATATGCTTTCCTAACAAGTGTGGAAAACTTTTACTTTACTTACGCCTGTTATTCCTAATGGAGCATAAGCTGCCAACCAACATTCTCTAACCCACACTGTACTGAGCCTTCTTTCCTAGTTCTATCCAATTTTTGTTCATTTTTCTCATGTCTATCTCCATTTCCCGGCGTAATGTGTTCTTTGGTCTTCCTCTCCTCTTTCGACCTTGAGGATTCCATGTGACGGCTTGTCTTGTGACGCAGTTGGGTGCTTTCTCAATGCGTGTTCTATCCTCTTCCATCGCTTCTTCCTGATTGTTTCCTCCACTGGGATCTGGTTTGTTCTCTCCCATAGTAGGTTGTTGCTAATAGTGTCTGACCAACGAATCCAAAGTATGTTGCGTAGACAACTGTTAATAAACACTTGTATCTCATACAGTAAAACTGTCTCGACATTTGTATTGAAAGTTCTGACTTTGATGTTGGTTGACAGTTGTTTTGAGTTCCAGATGTTCTCCACTTGTAAATATGCTGCTCTTGCTTCACCGATCCGCGCCTTCACATCTGCATCAGATCCACCGTGTTCATCAGTGATGCTACCGAGATATGTAAAAGTTTTTACATCTTCTAAATCTTCTCCACTAGGTGTGATTTGATTGGTGCATGCTGTGTTGTATCAGAGAATCTTGCTTTTCTGTTTGTGTATTTTGAGAACTACTACTGCTGAGGCTGCTGCCACACTGGTCGTCTTCTCCTGCATTTGTTGTTGCGTTTGCGATAGAAGAGCCAGATCATGTGCGAAGTCTAGATCGTCCAACTGCATTCTATCTGTCCACTGTATCTCATGCTTCCATTCAGATATTGACGTATTCATGATCTAGTCGATCAGCAGGAGAAAGAGAAAGGGTGAGAGTAAGCAACCTTGCCTAACACCGGTCTTTACTTTGAACGAGTTTTTCAACTGTCCTCCATGCACGATTTTGCATTTTAATCCATCATAGGAATTGTGTATGTTATTGACTATCTTTTGAGGAAATGAGGATGATGTATGGTGAAATTAATTTTAAATAAATCCAATGTGTTTAACGTTTTTCAGCATTTCAATATTTCAAAAGAACAACTAAAAAAGTGGTTTGAGTTATTTCTTCTGGTTAGAGTATTTTTTAGCGAGTTAGGTTTCTACGGAATGGGGTCGCAAACGCCATGCCCAACCCTTCTACTTTGTCCGGGCTTGGGACCAGCAGTAGCTCCAGAGGGGCCCAGGTGGACATGTTTACTAACTCGTTTCAGTACTTAAACACAACAAACTACTAAAAACTGTAGGCAACCATACGAATTGATATGTTAATTTATAATTCAGATTTAAGAGTATGTTAGCCATGACAGTGATAGTACAATGAAAATCGGATTTTGGAAATTAAAACTAACAAAGATGAAATGTTAAACAGAGAATGTATTACAACATTCGAAGTCATGCAAAATTTAGAAAGATGACTAAAAACTATTTTGTTTTAAAGGAATCAATCTACCAGTAAAGAAAATTTGGGTTATGCTTATTGTTGGGAATATGTCCCAATAAACCTCAAAGGTAATCAGTTAAAAATAAGCGTTTTAAAATCATCCAGTCATCAGGTGCGTGCAATAAGGAATCTGGCAGATACACACATCGGTTCGAATTATCACACCACATCATCAACGCACTGAAATGAAATTATGCTTGAGTTGTCGAAATAATATGAATTTGTTTAGTAGTAAAATAGATTAGGCATAGAAAATATAAATACTTTTAGTCAGAATTTCAGACTTCACATTAAGGCTTACTAAGTACATCACAATATTTAGTACATAAAATAATCAGATTCCTCGTCGATCATCTTTTAAACTAGAAAAATACAAATCGTATAGTTTGGTATTAATTAATTGGCCATAGAAGGCATAATTTCATTATGTAGAAATTTGTTGTTAAATCAAGACTGTTTAATTTCACTTGGTCATCGGAAGTGAGCGTTTCTTATTCTCCAGCTTTAAAATTTAAGAGTCGCGATGACCGATCGATTGAGGCATTGAACTAGAAACCCCCCCGCGCAGGTCCAAATCGTGTTCGCGGCGAGAAGCCCCCGAATGCCCTGGCACGGCCGAGGGTAGAGAGAGTCAGCTCTCTCTCTCGAAATGCTCTAAAGTGACCTAGTGTATACAATCACTGCCAGGGAAGTCCTACTCACTGCCTTCTTCCGGCTTCACTGTTGTTTACGAAATTGAGACGACAGTAAGCGAATGTTTTGTGCTTAAACCTGGTTAGTGAACACGGAGAGTCCACCTAGGGTAGTTGGAAAACCTTGATTGCAAACAAATGGTGCACATGGGCTCCAGCATCCTGAGGAAGCAAAAGACGTATGAACCGGCTACCATGGGATTGCATCTTCTGACGTTGCCCCACTATCTTGTTGATTAGACATTTAGGTCAAACGCCGATGTTGTCGTCCCTTATGAGAACCACCTGCTTGGGATATGTCACTCGGGCAATATCTCAGCCCTCATATGAATCGAATGATTTATGTACTGCATATCAGTCTGGTGCCTGCTTGTACCAATGTTTATGTGTTTGAATAAATAAATTATGTTTCTTATTCAGTAATATTCATATAATAAAAATCATAGAAAATTTCCAAATTTCATTAATTTCACACTGCATGATATTTATTATGTAAAAACTTGTCATTAAACCTGTTTTTTGACAGTCAATGAAAAAACCATCATTCAACATATACATAGCCAGTTCATACTATATTTACACAATAATGTTTGAATGAATGTTGTTTTATTTCTATGATAAAAAATATGTTTTCAAATTCACTTCGTGTTGTTTACTTGAATCTTTCCATTGATGTTTAAAACTGCAATTGATCAGTCTCTTTTTAGCATACTGTACGTATTGCCTCGATATTACTTTAATTTACAAGCATTATAAACATGAATAGATAATGGCTAACAGTGGAATCCAGTTTGAAACGCGTTTCGTCCTATTTAGGAATCATCAGTTGCATGAACCCAGTGTGAGCAACAACTATGAAATGCAAATACATCCAGCTGAAGAGTCCCAAATAGGACGAGACGCTGTTTGTCCTAGATTCCACTGCTAACTACTATCCATCATTGTTTAACTATGTTTTTAGTTGTTGCTTTTGCTAATTACTAATTAAACCAAGTTTTAATTTGAAATTTTACTCATCTGTTTGTTCAGTTATCATTGTGTATTTAAAAACTAAAATAAACTATCAGTATATACTACTGAAATGAATTATATTTATTCTAATAATTCATTAAAACTTGTCTTTTAGTATCATACATAAAATGGATTAATGATAAATACGAGTTAACAGATTTGTAATGATCTGTCAAACGACATATCTATCAATATAATGATAATAACTACAGCTGAACTTACAATACCGACTACTTCTCCAATTATAATCTACTATCAGTTTTAGTAATAATCACCATAATAAATATCAATCTTATCAGCATTATTTAAAAGTGAAATATAGACTTATGTATACTTTGGAAAATCATCCAAATAATTCCAACATTGATAATCATCATCAACAGTATCAAAATGATACATTATCTAATACATTGAAATCGTCTTCATCATTATCCTCAACATCATGTAATGTGTACAATGATGATAATGATTTGGATGAGGTGAGAATTTTTCTTAATGAAAATGAATATGATCTAACTGATCAAGATGTAAATGGTTATGAAGTTTCTGAAGAATTATCAACAAAAGTTATTCGTAGAAATTCATCTTTATCTCTTTCTTCATCATCGTCGTCGTCATCTTCTTCTTCTTCAGTATTATTGAAATCTTTTCATAGACCGGTTCAATCAGCATCACTTAAAACATCTAGACCATGTAAGGATATAAATTTCATTAATAATAAAGTTTATACATATCCTTATTCTACAAAACAAACTCCACACCGTACATCGGTAAATGTGCAATCACATAAACAACAAAGTAAGGCAAATCTTATTCCAAAAAATAAACATGATGAACAACAAAAAACCAAAAATTATCACACACATTCTATCAAACAAATGTCAAAGAAAAGTTCAACTGAAAATCAAATGAAGGATTGTCACTCAAATAATCATAATAGTCTTCTTGAAGAAAATCTTATCAAAACAGCCCAATTGAATTGTAAAACATCCTATCAAGATGTATTTAACAAAAAAATCCAACAGAATCAAACTGTTAATAAAATAAACAACCAAATTAATGAATATAAATTACAAAATAAACAGTTTAGTTTTGATAAAGAAAAATCAACAAAAAGAAAAATAGATAATATGAATACTCAGTATTGTTCAATTAACAATTCAAGTAGGTGACTCTATATATAGAATCGTTTCTGTGTTTTTTTATCATGATAAAATGGTTGAATTAATTCACTATTATATCCACAAAACCCTCTTCTGATAATAATCAACATATGTTCACTAGTGACGGTTTCCAAGATGTATTACCTGGAGTTCTAGTGAGAAGCATTGACCAATAGACTTCAATCGGATCTGTTGTGAAAGAGTAACTCACTGAAGACAATGATGAATGTGTCGATCAATTTTGTGGATTAATTGAAGTTACACATTAACACCTTTGGATGCTGGCCAACTCAGTGGTCTAAAGGTTAAGTGCTCGCATGCGAGACCAAAATGTCCTGGGTTCGAATCTCATGAGATTGGATCGTGGATGCACACTGCTGAAAAGTTTCACAGTAGGATAAAACGACCGTCCAGTGTTTCTAAGTTTCCCATGGTGGTCTAGCCATTATTAACTCATGATCTCAACTATTAAAATTCTAATACATTAATTCGATCTATTTGTTTGTTTAATCACAAAAATATAATAGGTTAGATTACTTCAGTTTTAGTGAGATCGTAGGAGAGTATATATTAAAGTTTATACTGAGAAATTTTTTCACCAATTTGTGAAAGACTTGTTCATCCTGAATGTTTTGTTAGATCAAATAAATCACCTTGAATTAGAGCAAAGTATCACTGAAGAAATGATGACTGAGAAGATAAGAAATGCACACCTCGCTTTATCCCATGGATATCCGTCTCTAGCCGTGAGGTTTCAACAAGTACGGAGCTAACACGAAAATCACTCACAAAAACGTCGTGTGTGATCGGCTTCAAACAGCTGTATCATGAGCACTGCGTTCACGCTCTCAGGTCACTAAAACCACCACTAAATCAATTTCGTTTGCAGGTACCCCCCAGAAGACCCCTTCCACGGTGTGGGCAACCGGGAAGTGATAACCGCCCCCATAGCCCTAACAGTATTCAAGATCACTGTACTCATAATCGATTTCCCTCTTCAATCTTTAAAATAGGAACATTACACTTTGTTTACTTGAGACATTAATCATAAAAATCTATAGTTCATCAACCATACAATGTTATAAGAAAAATTTCGTAAATTTTGTCAAAAAACATGTGGTTTCTAAATTCATGGCTACTGAATTTTACTTATGAAATAAATTCTCCCAACTTCTAGTTCAAAAATAACCAATATTTTATTGGATGATTTTTACAACGGTGCAAATCGCTTGATTTAGTGCAATGACACCTTTGTCTCGGTAGATAGAAAATAAAAAAGTACTTGAGAATATTTGACACTTATTTAGATTGGTAAAGTAATAGTTTCACCCTATTAGCTGAATGTTTCCATGGGAATCGGGATTGAACCTTCTAGTTGATGCTTAAACGACTTCAATGTGAATGACTGAAACGACGATCGCTCCTACTTATCTGCATATAAAAAGGGAAAAAGTTCGGGCATAATACGATATTCTTATCTTTTGACCATTATCAATAAGATTCTCATAATGCACAGAAGAAACGCAGTGTACAAATACTACAGTCCTCTTTACCAGTTATCCTATCGAAGCTATTAAAACCAGGTTATATGGTTTGCTAATGATCTATTTACACTGAGTAAGACGGCAGCTAATAACACCATACATCTGGTACTAGTACTAGATTAGTGGAAATAGTTTATTATTATCGAGATAAAATATTACGTATCAACCGATGGTTAGAGACCTTGAATGACATGGCTTAAAATCGTTTGCAATGGTGCAGGTTCATCCACTCTTTGTGTTCTCACAAATTCTAGTCTTCTGAATTCTTCATGTCTCCATTTTTTCTCTTTCCAAATTTATTTCACAGGATTATACTCCTTGAATAACATCCTCAAACCCTAATGTCTCCGATTACTGTTTATACTTTCACTACCTCTACCGCTATGAGGTTTGAATCGACAATTGTGTCTTTGTGCTAATGTGATATGAAAACTTGAACTGATGTATGTACGTAAGAGGTTCTATGTTGTTACTGACTGACTGATTATGCAGTGGTTTATGCACCTTTGTAAACTTTAATACGATTGAGTAAATTGCTGTTATTTTAATTTGTGGATACCTTTATGTTTTTATTGACGCTACTTTATTCTAACTCTAATTTTTCAGAAACCTGCGCTAAAAAGGATTTCTCTTCAACATACACTATAAACGGAAATAAACATGTACAGGAAACAACAACAGATTTATGTCTCATGTCAAAATCAATGTTATCTCGTCCTTCTACATCTAACTCCTTATGTCAAATGTATCATGATAAAAAATCTAATTCGCTCTGTTTGAATGATCACCAACTCAATAGTGTACCTTCATCCGGTAAAGATAGGCGGGCAATTTCAAAAGCTGAAGATGAAAAACGTCAAGCAATTAGGAAAGTTCAATTATTAGCTTCTGAAGTAGCATTAATATCGGCTAGACAGAAAGCGTTGGAACGTAGACAAGCTAAGTTATTAGAAATTCGTAAAAATTTACAGTTAAAACATAAACAAGCTGAAGCTCGTAGAAAAGCTATCGAAGCTTCAAAACAGGTAGGTAATTTCTAATGAATATATTTATCTAATGACTGTTATACTTATATAATGACTGTTATACTTATATAATGACTGCTTAAAACGACCCACTATTTGTATAAAAAGAAATCTAGTGTACATGTAAATACCATGACTTAGAAAACAGAACCTAACAATATTTCAAAGTTGAGATCATGAGTCAATTGAAGCTAGATCACTATGGAAAACCTGGAAGCGATGGATGGCCACTTCGTCCTATTGTGTGACTCGTCAGCAATGTGCATCCACAATCCTACCTTGTGAGATTCGAACCCAGAAATTTCAATTAACTCATGAACTCAACTATTGAAGTTACTAAAATGTCCACAAAAACCACTTCTGATACTAAATTTATAAAGGTTTGAGAATATAGATTTAGAATGGTGAAACATTTGGTAATTGTAGAAATGTAATAATTTATTTTGATACTGATCTATATCAGTCATTTCCACATGTCAATAAGTTTCGTTAATTAATTGTCACTACGTCGATAAACTATATTTCCCTCGTTGATATGAAGTAAAATTCAGAAGAAATTCATATCGTATACTTACTTACGCCTGTTACTCCTAATGGAGTATAGGCGACAGACCAGCATTCTCCAACCCACTCTGTCCTGAACCTTATTTTCTAGTTCTTTGGTCTTCTCCTCCTTCGACATTGAGGATTCCACGTGAGGGCTTGACTTGTGACGCAGATGGGTGGTTTCCTCAATGTGTGTTCTATCCTCTTCCATCGCTTCTTCCTGATTTCTTTCTCCACTGGAATCTGGTTTGTTCTCTCCCACAGTAGGTTATTGCTAATAGTGTCTGACCAACGAATCCAAAGTATTTTGCGTAGACAACTGTTGATAAACACTTGTATGTTCTGGATGATTGCCTTCGTAGTTCTTCAAGTTTCCGTCCCATACAATAGAACTGTCTTGATATTTGTTATGAAAATTCTGACTTTGGTGTTGATTGACAGTTGTTTCAGGTTTAAGATGTGCTTCAATTGTAGATATGTCGCTCTTGGTTTGTCGATCCGCGCCTTCACATCTGCATCAGATCCACCGTGTTTATCAGTGATGCTACCGAAATATGTAAAGGTTTTTACATCTTCCAAATCTTCTCCATTAAGTGTGATTAGGTTGTTGCATGCTGTGTTGTATCGTAGAATCTTGCTTTTATTTTTGTGTATATTGAGAACTACTAATGCTGAGGCTGCTGACACACTGGTCGTCTTCTCCTGTATTTGTTGTTATCTGTGCGATAGAAGAGCCAGATCATCTGCGAAGTCTAGATCGTCCAATTGCATCCTATCTGTCCACTGTAACCTAGTGCTTCCACTCAGATGTTGACGTCTTCATGACCCAGTCGATCAGCAGGAGAAAGAGAAAGCGTGAGAGTAAGCAACCTTGCCTAACACCGGTCTTTACTTCGAACGAGTTTGTCAACTGTCCTTCATGCAAGCCTTTTCAGTTTAATCCATAATAGAAATTCCATGTGTTATTGACTATCTTCTCAGGTACGTCGTAGTGTCGAAGAAGCTTCCAAAGTGTTGTCTGGCTGAGACTTACACTCAAGTTGATGTTCTCAATGGAAGTCGGACTCATAACTTATTGCTAGTCACTATCAAATGTGTTTAAATATGGTTATCACTACATGAGAATACTAAGGTAAAACACTCGGAATGTACATAATACCAAAGATAATTAATCAGCTATAGTCCATAATATTCACAACAACAATATTAACATAAACCTTAGAGAAAATAAAATCAATTAATGAATAGATTTTATTATACTCTTATAAATTTCTTAAATAAACATTCTTTTTTTATTTTTATTTTTTCTTCATATTCATCAAATCTATTTTCACCTTAATGTTTTTATTCTCTCATCATAGAATCATTCATTAGATAACCTATTACTTATTGATATTTGATGTTTGTTTTCTAAACACTTTATGAATAAAATAACCTTAATATATATCGTTTATAAAAGACTCTCACATCTGTTTTTTTCTCGAAATCTTTAATAATCGTTTATAATGGTTCACAGCACAAATAACGTACCTAGTTACTTATGTTTATTACTCCCAAATCGAGCATAAGTCGCCGCTACTGGTCAATGACTTGATAATCAGCTACCCGTGTTCTTGTCTACACCACATAATTGAATACTTACTTGCTTACGTCTGTTACCTCCGGAAGGAGCATGGACTACCAACCAGAATTCTCCAATCGACTTTATCCTCGGTCTTCTTTTCTAACTCTATCCAATTGTTGTTCGTTCTTCTCATGTCTATCTCCATCTTTTAGCGTGTTGTGTACTTTGGTATTCCTCTTCACCTTTGGCCTTGAAAATTCCAGGTGAGGGTTTGCCTTGTGACACAGTTTGGTGCTTTACTCAATGTGTTTCCTATCCACTTCCAGTGCTTCGTCTTGATTTCATTTCCAATGAAATCCAGTTTGTTCTCTTCCATAGTAGATTGTTACTGATAGTGTCTGGCCAACGGATCCGAAGTATTTTGCGTAGATAGCTGTTAATAAACACTTGTATATTCTGGATGATTACCTTCGTAGTTCACTAAGTTTCCTCAGTATACAGAACAGCACATATAAATGATCCTTAAACAGAACTTGTTTTTCTAATCTAGTATTTTAGTAGATGATGACCTGAATCAGATCAACGTATCATCATTCAAACTGATTAATATCTAAAAATTTTTATCCTGGTTTGATTTTTCTCTATTATAAGTTAAGTTGATCTGATTTTTCAAGGGTTAGATTAGTAGGCGAGACTATAATTTATGGACGAAATAAACAGATTTACGATAACAGATTTTGGCGCAAAATCCATTTACCCATTTGGCTAAATACAGTTGGTTGCTATGTTAAATCAATATACCTTATACTAACTCATAACGGCATACTAACATTCCCATTTTTTGTCTGCACCTTTACGATGTTCATGTATTCTTTTACATAAGTATAAAACTTGCGTTTTAAAACAATCATTCCTCAAGTAAAACTGTATTTTATCAGGTAAAGTACAATTTTTTTCCCTACTTTTTAATGCTATCCTACATACCACTTTAGTGTTACTTTCGAAAGCAGACATTTTTTCAAATGTGCTATTTTCTACAACGGGACTATGTAGTGTCGGTTACTATGTTAAGCCCATAAACATGATTCTTACTTCTGGACAGGCCAATTTATACATTCTTTTTTGAGTCACAATTTTGACTTTGTTAATTATTCACTTATCAACCCTATCTGCTTTTATATGAGTGTATGTGTGTGTACACCTCTTATCCTATTCATCACATGTCTCTAACTTATTTTTATCTAGCTATAAATATTCATTAACTCTTGATTAATGGGTGTTGGCTTACATGATTTTACCATAGCGCATCATTTCGCTCCTCTCTCTTCTATCCCCTTCATCCCCCTGATTTCCTGTTCAGATCAGTGATGAGTATACACAATATACGTATTCAAAACTTCATTCTCGTATTTGGTTTATTTAATTCTGTTATTTACCAACGCGATTTAAGTCAATGAAATGTACAAGGATAACCGACATGTGTAGCAATCAGCATACAATCCAATTGGAGTCAAATCTAGGGTCACTAAATGATATTTTATCAAATTTTCTGTCATAAATTATTCTATATAGCCAGTTAATATCACTCACCAGAGTTCATAATTAATTATCTTTACTGATCTTATTCTTCAATAAGAAGTCTGTTAAGAATACAAATAAAGAAATTGAATAAATTATTCAATCACAAAACATAATTTATACATTTTTTTCCAGTTGTCCATGTTTTATTTAAATTGATAAAGTCAAGCATAAGTCTTTATTCAAAGTAATTGTCAATGTTCAGTAATGTTCTTTTATTATCACTACTTTGTTTACTTATTCTTCATTTTTACTCACTTACTTATGCCTGTTACTCCTAATCGAGCATACGTCGTTGACCAGCATTCTTCAACTCACTCTGTCCTCGGCCTTCCTTTCTAATTCTATCCAATTGTTATTCATTTTTCTCGGCGTAATGTATTCTCTAGTCTTCCACTTTTCCTTTGGCCTCGAGGATTCCATGTGATGGCTTGTCTTGTGACGCAGTTGAGTGATTTCCTTAATTTGTGTCTTATTCAGTTTCAGCACTTCTTCGTGATTTCTATTTCCTCTGGGATCTGGTTTGTTCTCTTCCATAATAGGTTGTTGCTGATAATTTCTGGCAAACGGATCCAAAATATTTTGCATAGACAGATGTTAATAAACAATTGTATCTTTTGGTTGATGACTTTTGTAGTTCTCCAGGTTTCCACCTCATACAATAGAACTGTTTTGACATTTGTATTGAAAATCCTGACCTTGGTGTTGGTTGACAGTTGTTTTGAGTTCAGATATTGTTCAGTTGTAAATATGCTACTCTTGCTTTACTGATCCGCGCCTTCACATTGTTGATTTTTAATACTCAATAATTGTTTTATTAATAAATAAAACATTTTGATTAAATGTTTTTGAGAGTAAGAGTTTTACCACTACTAATAATAGATTGACTACAAAAGATGTTTATGAACTATCTTAACAGTTGAAGTCTTACTAAAATTCGCTGACTTTAAAAGAGGCTAATATGCAAAAATAATCTACTCTCTTTAGTTTAATACTGATTATCGCGTTTCATTCCTCAAATAAAAAGGAATTAGTTACATGACTGCCCCAAAATGCCCTGGTACGTTGGAGGGTGAGGAGAGTGCGTTCTACCTCTCCAAATACTCTCACATGGCCACGCATATGCAGCCACTGTCAGAGAAGTCCTACTCACTAACTTTCCACGCCATTACTATTGTATATGAAATTGAGAGAACAAAAGAAAATGTTTGGTGGATCTATCTAGGGGAGGTGAGGAACTGTGATTCCAAACTAATGGTCCACATGAGCTCCAGAATCCTGATGGAACAAATTGCGTATGAACCTGTTGTTGGTCACCAGCTACCATGAGACTGCATCTCCTTACGTTGCTACACTGCCTTGTGGATTAGACCTTTAGGTCAAAAGTTCGGAGTGTGGCCCCCTAAGGGAACCAGTTGTTTCTGTTTGAGCATCCGGGTAGTATCACAACCCTCTCATAAATCAAGTGACTTGTATGGCGCATATGTATTCGGTACTCTTTTGTATCAGTATTTATGTGTTCAATTAAATAATGAAATATAATAATAATAATAATAATAATGATAATAATAATAATAATTTACATGACTTCTGATATCTATACTGCTGAACTGATGAACCTTCCTTCGCATGCACAATAAACTGTCTCATTGACTACTTTTGAATAAACAAAGTTCTTCAAAACAATATATCAATATTCCTAAAGATTATATAACAATAGATGGCCAGTTTTTTTTTGTACTATTACTATCTAATACAACAACATAAATGTGGAAACTTAGAAAGTCTTAAAAGTAAACAAGCTAAATTCACGAACTATTTTTCAATATAAGTCGTTTTTATTCTATTTAGAAAAAATTGTTTTCATAAATTATATTATTATTATTATTTCACCTACTGAATAGCAACGCTTCAATCAGTTGTCTGAACAGTCCCAAAGTTATCATCGACAAAAAAATATCTCAAACCATCCACAGCAACAGAAACTTTCTAACAGACCTTCTTCTTATAGATCTAACTTCATTCATAACTATCAAAAATTTAATAACAATAATGCAAAAGTATCTACATCAAAGAATACAAATGAATCAATAATTACAACATCAATCACAACAATAACAACGAACAATACTAATAATGTTACCAATACTACAACAACATGTCCTATTGGTTTTGGTTCTAGTACACCAAGATTTGTATGTTATACAAGTAAAGAGTTAATGCATTTCAAATATCCTTCTATAAAAAATACAAATAAATCAAATCAAATAATAAAACATTCCATTGATCAGTTTCATAACTATAATGATAAAATTAAAAAGATTGTTAATTTTCCTAGACAAAATAATGATACAAAACATTCTATCTTTTTTAAAAATGACAATTATTATTATTATACAAACAAACATCTTATTAAATCAACACATCAAGATACTACTAATTATATTAATAATACTGATGACAAATTTTATTATCATAATTGGCAAAGTTTATCACTTTATATGAACTGTAATTCACTTGATACAAGAACATCCATAAAAAATGATCAATCGATTATTTCAATGGAACAATCAAATGAAAATGTGTTTCTTTCTGATAAAAATAAACGTAAGTTACTTTCTTTAATACATTGATTGTTACATAATTAATATCAGAAGAGGTTTTATGGAGATTGTAGTAATTTCAATGGTTAAGATCATCAGTCAGTTGAAACTGAACCACCATGGAAAACTTGGAAGCACTGCTAAGGAGTCCCACAATAGGACATAACGATCATCCAGTGCTTCCAGGTTTTTCATGATGATCTAGCTTCAACTGACTCATGATCTTAACCGTTGATGTTACATAATTATTTTGAAAAGTTAAAATACTTTTCATACTTAATATGTATGTATGTATGCTAAGTTAGTTAAAATGACAACAATCAACCAAAACATCTATCTGCATGATTGATATAGTCATGAAGTTCTAGTTTGAAAGAGTCTTATCTCAACTGGCGAGGTATTATGAGGTAGCCAGTGCGTCCATATTTATGGAAGAGGAAAGACTTTTATAGTACAAATGACATCTGGTAGCCGTGTTTAATGTTAAACTGACTACCAACAGTTGAATGAAAATCAAGAGCCTAAATTATTGGAAACAAAGATCCAAGAAATACAAGAAACTGGAATTAATTGTTGTAAAGTTGAGAGATTGTAAATGGATCGGTAGACACAGTAAATGTTACTAGTTTATGTAAATACTCAAGAGTATTATATAACAATAAGTATTAGCGCGCAAGCACCTAACCATTAGACCACTGAGCTGGCATTCAACGGTACAAATGTCTAACTTCAACCAATCCACGAAATTGCGCCACCGTCAACCATTGTCTTCAATGAACTGATATCTCACAACAGACCTGGTTGGACTCCACTGGTCACTGAGTGTATAAAAGTTCTTAGGAGTAAAACGGGTTACCGAATATTATTAAGTAGTATAAAAAGATAAACAAAAATGTAATAGAAAATGAAGAGAATGTGTAAATAAAATGTAGGCGAACTTATCAAATTTCATGGGTTCTTTCATACTTAGCTACTTTCGATATGCATTGATTCTACAACATAATGTGTATTATCTTATTTGTTTTGATGGCACTACTAATCTGCCTACTACGGAAAGAAAAGGACAATAATTGAGCTGACTAATACTGTACTATTATTTTAATTCCATTTCTCAGTGGAAGTTCGTTTCAAATACGAATACAAATAAAAACTTTTATAGGATTACAATTAGGAAGACCTCTAGTATTCTTGGTTTGTTAACAGATTCTGCCGCGATTTCTCACATCAAGTATCATGAATTATCATTTAATTTTACCATATGTATATTAAGCGCGATGAGCAACCCAGTTAATGTTAAACAAGAGCACATTTACTAGAGTGACTGACGTTTCTATGTGACTTTGTCCATGATAAATATATGTCTTGATAACCTAAAAAACTTTTTAATGCATAAGATCTTACATATCCTTTATTAAACAAATTACTTATGATTTAAGTGGATTCAAATTGTTTGTTTTTTGTTCAAGTAACATTTGCAAATGATGTTCAGTATGAATTTCACTGGTGAAGGCAAGTGTGACAAAACGTTGAATTTCCTTGACGTCACACTAAGCAGGCGAAGTGATGGCTCGTTAAATAGAAGCGTATACAGAAAAAGTCCCTCCGCCTGCCAATATACTCACTTCTATAGATTGACACCTATCCGATACAAGAGAAATTTGGTTAGAAATCTCACTAGCAGAACAAAAAAGATCTGTTCAGTAGATACTTTAAGTCAGGAGCTGGAACTTATCAACAACTCACTGATCGAGATCAGCCACCCCAGTGCGTTCATAAATAAGTCGAAGATTTCGACTGTTCGAAAGAAGCTTTTATACATTAAACTACAATTTAACGGGGATATGGCTAGAGATACTCTGAAGCATTTTCGTATAAATATTACTGTATATTAGAGTAAAGCCTGATGACGATGTGATTGAAAATAAATGTTCGCTTACATGTGTTGTTCTAATGAATTTATTTCATTATGAAAATCTCATAAAAATATGAAAAAAAACACTTTACAAACATTTCACCAAAAATTGAAGTTAATCCACAGTGATTATAATAGATACTCTTCAATATGTAAAAGTGTTACTTGTATTCAGACTTTTATTAATAATTTAACAAATGTCATATCAATGACCGGTATGATCATAAAAATATATATCGCTGTTAATTTTGTCAACATTTAAACACATCCTTCGACATTTTTCACAACTAGTAGCATTGTAGACGCTTTAAACAAAGATGGATAGTGATTAGCAGTGAAATCCAGGATAAATTACGTTTCGTCCTATTTGGAACTCGTCAGCTGGATGTACCTGCATCCCAGAGTTAATGTTTACCCCAAGACTCAAAAACATGTGACTTAAGGCTATATCTAGGTGATTTGCACAGGATGTATATATGCCAACATTAAGACTGATCAATTGCAGTCCTAAATAACAATGTTCATTTCTCCACTGCTACTACTTATACTTATTCATTTATTTATTTGGTACAAAGAGGCGCCAAATATATATGCGCCACACAAATCATTCGATTTGTATGAGGGATGGGATACTGTCAGGGTGCCCAAACCAAAACAGGTGGTTTCTTTAAGTTGCCAAACTTGAAGCCTTTGACATAAAGATCTGGTCCACAAGTCAATGGAGCAACGTTAGTGGATGCAGTCCCATGGTAACCGGTGACCGACAATCGGTTCATATACCATTTGTTCCCTCAGTTTCCTGGAGCCCATGTGCACCTTTAGTTTAGAATCATGGTTTTTCAAGTCCCGTAGGTGAATCGTCCATATCCATCAACTCGGTAAAAGCACCGTACATTCACTTTTCTTCCCCTCAATTTCGTAAACAACACCCCCGCTACGAGAATGCAATGAGTAGGACTTCCTTAGCAGTGGTTGTATGCACCTCTAACAGCACTCAAGACCACTGTATGCACGTGGCCATGTGAGAGTATTTCGAGTGAGAGAGAAAGAGAGCTGATTCTCCGCACTCTTGGCCGTACTGTGGTATTTTAGTTATATCAGACTGTTCAGGATTACCATAACTGTATTGAAATATATTTACTTTCAAAAATGTTTTACTATTCTGAAGTATATTGTTGATAGGAAATTATTATCTCAAAATGGAAATCGACAACATGTAAACTATTTTGAGATTCTTACTTTTTGTTAATTGTATTTCTCTTACTCATATATTTTATAGATCAGATTCATAAAACTACTACTACTACTACCAAAGATGTTGATAGTAATATTAACAGTCGGAAGTTAAACTTTTCAACACAATCCTCAGTAAGTTACCGTTTATGATTGATTTTTTCTTAACATAATATACAAATATTAGAAAAATTAAATAATTGAATCAAAATCATGTAAGGTAGGATTTTACTTTTTCCTCGACTCATTACTAAATCAATATACAGTTGATTTAGAATTGTGATCACTTATAGAAAGTAAACTAATATTATTCTATGGATCTAAATTAGAAATTCTGTCTGATAGTCTAATTAAGTTAATCCTCTAATGTTATTAATGCTGACTTAATTTAACTTCAACTAGATCAAAATATTGAATTATTTTTTCCTGAATAGCGTTTTTTTTTACCGATTTAGTTTTCTACGGGATGGGGTCGCTAACCCCATTTCCAAAACTTCTCTTTTATCAGGCCTTGGGAACGGCAGTAGCCTCCGAAGGGCTCCAGGTAAAGTTTAGAACAAAATATCGGATCTGAAAATCCCTCTTTGAATACAGCTTGTCAGTTGTTGAGAATATTCTAAGTGTAATCCGCAAGATAAATGTTGTTTCAGTTTAAAGGCAATGAATGATACGATTCTCAATCTAACTTATAAATATTCCAATGTGCTATTCACTCACTGTTTCATTTGTCCGCTCCAAATTGCATTTCCAACGTTTCGTTTACGACTATGACCAACAATATAGAATTCTTAGTTTTATCTCTTGTTATTCTATCCTTTTGATTTTGGTTGATTCGATCGTACCTACTAAGGGTACTACTCTGTTTGATTCATGTTTGTAGTAAAAAGATTCTTAAAAGAAATAAGATAGTCATCACGAGTCTTTTCAGTATAGTTACTATTTAAATAGTAGTTTCATAAAATATCTGACAGTAACATTTTACAGCTAAAGAATATCGGTAATAAACAATTTTACACATTTAAGTAAACTATAAGCTAACATTCAATATCTTAATTTTGGAACTTAAGAAAATATGTACCTGCATATTCATCAAAAATAAGCATCTTAACAACAGTTTTTACTACAAACTGATTGTTAGATAAATTGACTTTGTACTCATTGATTTATTTTAACAATGAAAATGTGGTGTGTGCCAGTTATATCGACACAAGTAGTGTATGACATTAGTCGTGAACAGAATGTCTAGCAACAGAGAAACAAAAGACTCGAACAATAAAAAATGGAAACAGAATGCAATTTGTATGAAGATGCAAGAAAAATGAAGTCTGAGTCATTTTCACTACATTTGGTGTCGCTGCCAACCAGGAGAGGGGAACGGTGCTTTTCTGTGGGCGCCCTTGCGGGCCTGGAGCTGAGGTGCGGTCGAGGCAGTCTGATGCGAAGAGGTGGCGTCTAGTGGAGTGTTCTGGCGAGGCGGTGTTGACTGTAGCGGGTGTTGTCGTCGGGGAGGAGCGGTGGGACATGCAGCTGCTGGGCGGGCATCGGATGTAGATGGCTCAGTAGGCCGGTGGAGCACGGATGGTAAAAGTCTCAGGTGCCGGGTTGATGTCGGATGTTGGTGCCTTGGCAAGTCGACGGAGCTATGGACGTCAGCGTGCCGCAGACTCGACATTTTGACGGAGGGCGTAGCACAGACTGCAGAAAAGAAGAATGTGGCACGGCGAGCATGAACTACCGCAAGAACGAATGCTTTAAAGGGGGGACGAGTGTGGTGCGTGCTATTTATGTAAACATAAGTAGTATATGACGTTAGTCATGAACAGAATGTCTGGCAGCAGAGATACAAGAGGATCAAACAATAAAGAATGGAAACAGAATACAATTTGTATGAAAATGCAAGAATAATGAAGTCTGAGTCATTTCAAGGCAATTGATGGACATTTTGCAAATTAAGCATTTACTATATGATTGTTAGATTTTATTAACATGGCCTGTAATTTTATATAAAATACATTCGATCGTTCCCCACTCGTTTTCTAGCTCACTACAAGAACATCATAGAAACTAAATAAATATTGAAGTTTATGTCAAAAAAAAATTAAAATATGAAGTTGAACTAAGTATAATTTAAGATGGTTGAATGAATATTAGCAGATTCTGTATCTTCTAAATGAATAAAGTGGTAATTTTTAGTTGATTAACAATCTATTTGTAGATAGAATTAGATCTGTGAATTGGTTGTTGTCTGTTGATCAATGTCTCTGTACAGTTCAATTGATAAGACTAAGTTAAATTTCTGCATATTCATGAATACTTTTGATACTTATGATCAATATTTATATAAAACACTTTATTATTACTACAAATTAATCTAGTGACCAGCAGTTTCTGCATCAGTAGGCCTTAACATACACAGAGGGAAAAAGCAAGATCCTCAAGTACAACACACAGAACATCAAATCAATCACACTTGATGGAGAAGCTCTGAAAGATGTGGAATCTTTTACTTACCTGGGAAGCATCATTGATGAATAAGAGGGATCTGTTGCAAATGTAAAGGCAAGGATTGATAAGGCAAGCACAGAATTTTTACAGTTGAAGAACATACGGAACTAAAAATGACTGTCAACCAATTTCAAAGTCACAATTTTCAATACGAATGTTAAGACAGTTCTACTGTACGAAGGTGAAACGTGGAGAATTACCACAACCATAATCCAGAAGATACAAATATGTATAAACAGTTGTCCATGCAAAATACTCAATATCAGTTGAACCGATACCATCAGTACCAGCCTACCGAGGTAGAGGACAAACCAAAACCCACCTGAAGAGGAAATTGGAAAAAGACATTGGAAGTGGGTAGGATATACCAAACTGCATTACGAGGGAAACGGATAAGAGGAAGGCCAAAAAAGACACTGCGTCAGGAATCGGAGGCAGACATGAAAGAATGAATAGTAACTGGAAAAAAACTGGAAATGATTGATCAGAACAGAGTCGGATGAACATTGCTGGTGGATGGCCTATGCTCCCCGACAAGGGTTAATGGGTGTAAGTATAAAGTAAAAATGCAGTAATCGTTCAGTTGAATTTAATTCTGAATCATAAACTATATAGCCATTTTTCTTAAGTTTTCGATAATACTGACACTTTGCCTCAGTCCGAATTTTACTTATTATAGTATCAGTTATCCCTTTCTTTCATTTTTAGGAAACATGATATTATATCAAGTCTCTCATTGAATTTCTTTCGCTGTAAAACCCCTGACATATATTAGTAACTTAGTTTAATGTTTTATTTTCACTTCATTACGAATATTCCAGACTTTACCTTCATTCACCACAAAAAATTCCTTGGAGAAGTCAACAAATTCCTCTAAATCAATGAGATTAACAAAACGATCAAGTATACAATCAGTGACATCCATAACGTTATCATCTTCAACGTCTGATTCATCAAAACAATCTTTACCTGTAAAACAAAGCTATGCACCACTTGAAAATCTCAATACATATAATACGTTTAAATCTAGAAATATCAATAATACAAAGCATACAATAGTTCATTGTCAAACTAATGCAAGTAAACCTAACTTAAAACAAATGAATTCTTCGAATATTCAATTCTTAAATAAGTCATTCATTGATCAAAGAAAAGCAAATTCAATTATAGACATAAAAGAAGAAGGGAAGAGTATTGAGAAACTACCCGTCATGACAACTAGAACTCAAGGAAATGTAGAGAAAACATTCACAGACAGGTATGTATATTCACGATTTGTTCAAACCATATTCCATTGTTTTCTCTTTTCGATGTGACAGAAAAAAAAGCATATTTCTTCTTTAAAGCAATTAGTCCTTTTCATAAATTTTAATAAAACAATGAGAAGATGGAAAATGTGATGTATTTGAACTACACATGTTAAACAGTCTAGCCATAACGTGACTTGCGGATTACCAGAGCGAATTCAAGGTTACAACAAATTGTTTCTGTACACATAAGAAAGATTTTAATTTAAGAATAGCAAAGGTTTCTATAAACCTAATAGTTCGTCCTTGATAACGTCATTTGATTTACCTTTATTAGTTTTCATATCAATTGCCTTGACAAGCATATAAGTGAACAGATTGACAGAAATGTATCGCGCAAATACATCACATTTTTCAGATCAGCTTTGTCTTCTCATTGTTTGATCAATATTTCTTCTTGTTTTTTTTTGGGAACCTTTGCAATCGGATCATAAGACAAAAGGGCTGTTATTGATAGAGTCTAGGTATTGATTCGTTCGCTTAAACTGTCTATATAATAACGATGACCTACGGTCAACCAATGATACGACGATAGTGACATAATAGATGAAAGTAAAACATAACGATTACTGGCCGAGAATGCATTTCCTTAAACTCGCCCACTCGATAGTCAGAATATGATACAAGACAACAAGCAGATAACTTCCAACTATACGGTTCACTTTCATTGCGCAACTCATAGAATAAATATAGAGTAAAATGTTGATCACACATCAACATAGGAAATTCCAAATATGAACATAACTACTTTATAAGTAGAAGAGGACTGAGTGATAGATCCATAATAAGGTTACCACTTTAAATCTCATTGATTTTCTATTAAAAATTTGAAAATAATACCCAACAAAGACTTTATGAGATTAATTTTCTGCTAATCAGCATCGACTATCAATGTATTTCTCTAATCTTGGAATATATTTGATATTTACTGTTCACTAAATACATGCCATCTAATACCCTGTTCAGTCAAAATACTTCTTCATTAAGCTACTTTGGCAGAAAACGATCTAATATAACTAAAGGGAATGCAAAGAATTAAGATTTGTTGATAAGAAATAGTGTGTTAACCTTTCATCGACTTAGTTAACTGAGATTAAGAAAATCTGAGATTATTGATGTATGAGGTTTGTTGAGATTAGTTAGTATTGTAGCTTCCATGATGAACTCATCGTATTTTGACAACAACTAGAAACCAAAAAGCACGTGAAAGCTTTTTCTTTTCGGCGTGAAACTTCTCGATTACCCTTATCTACGATTTTATCTGAAATCAAACTTGAAGCGTTCAAGTCATACGGCTATCGTTTAACCTCAATGCCTCTAAGCTGATATTCCATAGTTGGCATATCTATCTTCAATTGATTCGTGATATTGCGTACCTATCTTTCAAAGCTATTGATAAATAAATACCTGATATTCGACATATTCGATGTCTGTTGACCACGGTTGTGGATATGAGGGTACTTAGTTCCATCTCATATGAAGTCTTGGATGCGAAATGTTAAAGATTCTCAATGGCAATAAAACAACTATCTAGCACTCCCTGATTTTCAATAGTTCCCTAAGTAAAGTAAGTTAATGTTGTAAACTGTAAAACACCGAATTATTTTATCTATAATGTAAGTTGGAATTATTTAATAATTTCAATTGTGTTCTATTCTTGTTATTTGTGAAGTTCGAATTCTTCTCCTGTATTCAAAGATCATCATAAAATAGCAAACTTAATTATTGAAGAAATCCTAAAAAACATAACAGATGAAAATCTTTCAAAAATAGCACAATCTTCATTAAAAACAACAGATGAATTATTTATGGAAACAGATCAAAATGAAGTCAAAGTTATAAACCAACAAATGGAATCATTAATTATAACATCTACTGCTGGCATTGAATCTTCCACTTTACCTTTAACTTCATCATTATCCACAACAACAACAACATCATTTTCATTGTTATCAAACACAACAACAATTCCTAGAACTGTAACAGATACACTTGTTGTTACAACTTCTATAATGCAAATTTCACCAGCAACTATTACTTCAATAAACACTTCATTTAATGATAATCCATTGACAGTACCTAAAACACTACAGTTTGATCATCTAACTATGAATATTATAGATTCCAATAAACAAATTGTAAATATGACAAAAGAATCAATAATCAATAAACTAGATAAATCCATAATTACTGAACAAACAAAAGTGATTGACAATAATGATAATGAAACACAAATAAAGGTAATGTATTTTAGAACTTATTCTCTTTAATTAACATAGTTAATAGACTTAATCATGTAGTATACAATATAGAATTCAGTCACGTATAAAGACTTCATTCTAGATTTACTTACTTACTTACTTACGCCTGTTACCTATTATAGAGGAGCATAGATCGCTTACTAGCATTCTCCATCCAACTCTGTCCTCAACAAACCTTTCCAGTTACTATTCAAACTTTTCATATCTGTTTCCAATGCTCAACCCAGTATGTTCTTTGGTCTTCCACTTTTCCGTTTCCCTTCAGTCCTTGAAGTCACTAACTTCTGATCTAAGCCATGATGGTAGATACAGACTACCTGGTTAGGGTTCGTGTGACCATCATAACCAATTATTGAAGACTGTATGTGTCAGGACTCAGAATCGATCACAATGGAGTAGGTGTATACACTTTGTATTCCCTTAAACTATCAGATTAAAATTACTTTATACCTTTCCTTCTACGAACTAATTCTTTCTTCCTGTATTATATCCTTATACACGATCTTTCTTTTATATATTGCCACCATCGAATTAACTACTTCTATGAATTTGGTGTTCATCTTGTTGTGCTAATAAGGTGTGTCAATTTGGACCAATAAAAAAGGTTGTTTATAAACAATAATCATAAGATAAAGAAATGAGTAAATAACTCATTCATCAAATACTAGAATATTAACCTCACTCAAAGTCTTAGGGTTAATGATACAATCCGGTTGCCTGAACCAAAATAGCTGAAGCAGGATTCGAATCTAGGACCTAACAGTTAAGATCTGATGCTTCAACCATTAAGCTACTGACCAATAACTAAGCGAAGAAATATTTCAGTGTTAAATTGATATTACATAATGGCTATAAACTAGTATCATATTTACTAACAGTCGTTAATAATTTTGATTACATGATAAGTTCCATAGTTTCTAATAATCTAATGAAAATTACAATCAGTTATACCTACTAATTGATACTTTAGCAGTCCAGTTTAAGAAAATAAAATAAATCTCACTCAGTCAGTCAGTCAGTTACAACGTAGGACCATGCACATATTTGACTCGATCCAAGTAGACACACCTCATTAGCACAACACGACGAACATATTTGTAGTAGTATTATATAAAAGAAAGATTGCCTTTAAAGATACAATACAGCGAGAAAGAATTAGTTCGTAGAAAAAAAGATATGAAGCGATTTTAATCTCTTAGTTTAAGGGAAGACAAAAAGTGTGTACACCGACGCTATTGTTATCGATTCTGAACCATGTCACCCAGATTCTTCAATCATTGGTTACGATAGTCACGCGGACTCCAACCAAGTAGTTAGTTAGTGAATTCAAGGATTGATGCTATGTTTTGGTTTGCCCCCCCCCTAACTTTCTTCCAACAATCCCCAACACTAGTGAGATAAATCTTATTAAAGTACTGTTTAGAAAGTCAAGTTTATTTTTTAAATAATTTGACTTATTTTTCAATTTACTTAAGTTGGTATTAAAACGAAGCATTTATTTTGTAAGGGTTATTAAGATATAAAATAAGCAATGAGGTAAATTCCATTCTACTCCGTTCTAGTAAGCAATCCTGTTGATGATAATATTTACGACCTGTTTAATATATAAAACTTCAGTTTTTCAGTTTCCATAGTTATATCGACAATGATTTTTTTCAGCTTAGCAACAAATGTATTGCAACATTTTTTTAACAGTATCATAAAAATTCAATGTTATATTCAATATTGTTACAATAATTTAAACATAAGAGAGTAATTGATCAACACAACGATATTCTGAGCTATCATTTTCTCTGAAAACATACAATGCTTTAAAACTTAGTTATACACTAACACTAAATGTCTCATCTAATACTTATTTTACTAATAAGTAATCAAATTTAATTGAATCTGTTTATCAGTTTATTAATGTTACGCAACATGTTAAGCAGAACAATTTCAAATAACCAAGTTCGTTTAAATAATAGGTACGACTGTACATGGATTTTGATGGAGTTTCGTTCTCTGTGCTGAAAGGTTTTGTCGAGGAGCTTTCATCGTTATTGCGAACGACATCATCAACACAAACTTCAGATAGAAGTGAAGTGTTCGAGTTTCTCCATATGTGTTCCACAGCTTGTCCTGTACACCTCGATGTTGATTGGTTCTTGTTGACCTTAAATTTGTCATTGTTTACTACTTTGTTTTGGTTGTGTCTCCCATTGGTTTGATCAAAATCAAATCAAACCATCCAGCTCAGAGAACAAAACTATCAAAATCATCCACCTGAGCTACAAATCTTCACCATCTCAAAATGTAGATGGATTGTACTCTAGAAACAATAATCATTGTAGTTCTTAAGTATTTTACTGCATCAAAATTTATATTGAACACTAAACTATTTACCATGCAACATTCAATTATGTAAAGTTTTGCAAGAATACTGAATCGGTGAGACTATAATTTATAGACGAACCAATCAGGTATAAGATAACAGGTCTCAGATTTTGGTATAAAATTCACCTTTCCATTTGGCTAAATAGAGTTTTGGCATTATAGCTTATATCAGTTGGTGAAAACCCTGAATGTAATTCCTAACCCTAACCATCAATTATCAATCATAAATCAAACTGGTTTATAACCCTCATTTGGTCTTAGTTATTAGGTGAACACTCTGAAGGTTACTTTAACGTCGCTCAAAGGTTGTTCATAAATTATAGTCTCACCACTGAATTTTCACACAATATGCCATTTGTAATAATATCAGAAGCATAAATGAAGTATATCATTGGACATTTAAAACCGCTTGAATTGTGAATTACTTTAGAATTCATCAGTTAACAAGTAAATCTAGTGATTTATTTATTCATTTTAACACATAGATATTGGTACAAAGAGACACCAAATACATATGTGTGAGGGCTGTGATACTACCCAGGTGCCCAAACCGAAGTAGGTGGTTTTCTAAGGGGGCCACACCCCGAGCCTTTGACCTGAAGATCTGATCCACAAGGCAGTGGAGCATCGTAAGGAAATGCAGTCCCATGGAATCCGGTGACCAACGATTGGTTCATACACCATTTGTTACCTCAAGCAGGATACTGGAGCCCATGTGCACCATTGGTTTGGGATCCGGTTATAGCGCCGGACATTCGCTTTTCGTCCTCTCATTTTCGTAAACAACACCCCCACCACGAGAAGGCAGTGAGTAGGACTTCCCTGGTAGAGGTTATATACGCGTGGCCATATGAGAACATTTCAAGAGGGTGGGCGGACTCTCCCCCACTCTCTGCCGTACCAGAGCATTCCTTCTATATATGATAATTTTTAAGTATCCTTCTAATATTTCTTTTATATAATAGAACAATTATCAATCAAATTTAATGAATATTCAAGAAAAACCTATTCAAATTGTACATCCTTTGAATTCAATTAATTTATCACAATCTGGAAGATTAGTTATTTCATTATCAAATGAATTAGCTGAACGTGAAGCACGTAAAAAACGTTTAGAATGTATTATGTCACGTATAAAACAACATTCTAATAATTATAATCAAACAATAATTAATAATAGCATAATAAATAAATCATCTATGAATAAATTAATAAATCCAATACAAAATATAGAACAAATATATAATCTAAGTAAATCACAACAAGAAATCACTTCAATAATAGATAATATAACAATTTCATCATCAATTTCAAGTACATTATTACATAGTTCATCATTAACAAATATGAATTCACTAGAATCAAATAGTAACTTATCTATTTTATATCATTCAATGAACAATATCAATTTAGATCATTCTAACTATAAAGATGAATTAATTTTTAATGATAATAATAATCATAATAGTAACCATGGTAAACAAGAAGATGAGAAAAAATCCATTCAATCAGATAATAATAGTAATCATAGTGATTTGATAAGAAATCGTATATCGATTATTGCTAATATGTTATCTTCTGGTAGATTGAATAGAAAAAGTCGTGCAGCTGAAGTATTAATTAATATGATAACAAAGAAACAGTCCAATTTAAATGAGAATAAATATTTAGAGAATAGACATAAATTAGATGATATTATATGTGGTAAGTTAGTTTTGTAATTGATTTTTTTTTTTTGCTTATCAATATAACACAATATTATAGTTTTTAACTAGGTTAAACTCAATGACTATCATTAAACCATGTAGTCTGTTGCAAAATATTCTATCAAGATCATTATATAACGTACATGTATCACGAACTGATCTCAGATTATAATTGGAAACCATGGATTTTGTTATGAGATAGATACCGTAGTAATGATTATTCATGATACAACCAGTGATGAAACGTAAAATCTTAAGGTTTTAAATCATATGTTTAGATATTAGAACCGTGTTATGTATGTAAGTAGTGTATAACGATAATCAGGAATAGAATGTAGTTTAGTAGAAGATTGAGAAGGAAAGAACGGGAAAAGGAAATTAATTGGTCTAAAAATACAGGAACAATGAAATCTTAGATGATGAACTGATATTTGCAAAAGGTATAGTCAAACTTGAGACAATGCATTTATATTTTACAAATGAAGTATTTACTGTACAGTTCTCATATTTTAGTAAAATGTTGTGTAAGTTTGCGTTTAAATATATTCAATTACCCCCAAATTTTCTTCTCGTTCACTACAGAAGCATTGTGTTGGCATCCGACACACACATACACACATTTCAAACTTCAATTAATACACAACATAGTATAACAGTCAGCTAATAAAAAAATTGTTTAGTTCTAGACATATCTAAACTCCATCAGTCATGACTTCCTATTGGAACTTCATGAACTCATATCGAAATAAATCAATAATAAAATTGACTGTCGTAGTTTCAGATAAAGAGGCTTTGTAGAGATTATTTTAATTTGTAGATCATATTTGTCATTAATTGGTATCAAATAACACCTATTTAAAGTATTGTGTTTACGAGATTGAAAGGATGAAAATCGAATGTCCGGCGGTTTAACCGGGTTAGTGGATCCATCTAGGGTAGTTGGAAAACCCTTATTCCAATTAAACGGTGAACATGGGTTCCAGGGTCCCGAGGAAACAAATGGTATATGAACCAATAATTGGTCACCGACTACCATGTGACTGCATCTCCTTATGTTGCTCCACTGCAATGTCGATTAGACCTTTAGGTTGAAGGTTTCGGATGTGACCCGCTAGGAAATTCAACTGCTTTAGTTTGGGCACCCAGATGGTAGCACAGCCTACACATAAAGCAAGTGACATGTGTGGCGCATATGTATTAGGTGCCCCATTGTACCAATATTTATGTGCTCTAATAAATAAATGAGTTTATACTGATAATCAAATTAACGATTTCGATGTAAATCATTTATGATGTAAAACTATATTAAACTCCAACTCAATTGTTATTGTTCAAGACTACAATTGATCATTCTCTTATTGACATATGTGCATACTGTTAGTATTGCCTCGATATTACCTTAATTCACAAGCATTATAAGCAAAGATGGATAGTGGCTAACAGTGGAATCCAGTTTGACTCGTTAGCTAGACGTACCCGCATCTCAGAGTTGATGTTCACTCTGAGGCTCGAATCCATCACCGTTCGCTTCAAATTCCATCGCGTTATCCACATAGTTGCTGAGTCCTCAGATGCAAGTCCCAAATAGGACGAAACGCGCGTCCTGGATTCTAATATCTACATTTGTTATTTTGATAACACAAAATACGAAAATAGGTTAACTGGAATTCTTACTTAAACTAAACACACAAGTAAACTATTATCTGAAATGGATAAGAAACGTCAGATTAAACTAATTACAAACAGGTAGTTTAGAAACTTCATTATGATGTGGTGTGTACTACTGATGTCGACAGATATCAGTAGCAGAATGTTAAGAAGATCGAAGAAAAGAGAACGAGAACAAAGAATGATTGATGTGTAAACGAAGGAACAATCAAGTTTGAAACGATTCATGGATATTTTTCTGTATGGTTCTCTGATTTTACTAAGTGATTCTATAATTTTGTATTCACGTACATTCGACTATCCCCACTTATGTTCTCATTCACTACAATGCTATATAGGTAAGCATATATCACATAATGCATAAGTAAGTATATTATATTGTATGTATATATTGCTTGTATTTCTCAATATCTCAATGCTTCTTTCTTTAATTATTAAACTCTGTCTACAGATTACAAGTACAATACAAATACATCAGATGAACAGGCAAGTTAAACATTATAATCTTTCAAATATATTACCAAATTAATAACAATTTATACAGTCTTCTATGTAATGTGTTCATAGGTTAAAACAAACATTGATTCATGTGAATTACATTGTACTATATCATATTTTACATTTTAAAAGAAAGAAAAGAGAGTATTGTTTATATAGTTATAATTGATACTATAAACCTAGTTGTTTTACCTTATATAATAATATTAATAATGGGGCTATAGGCTTACATTGACAATAATCTATTCCCATGTGATTAATGTCCACGACGAAGAAGAAATACTTCTTTTGAATTCTATTGTTAGATACTCGAGTTGTAAACAGATTATGCAGTATTGTGTTGTCTTCTAACCATGTAGAAGTGTATTGAGTGGTGTATCGCTAATAGAAAAATGGAATATTCTTATATGCAATAAGCGTGTTTTCTTTTTTGGAAAACGTAAAGATCTATAGTAGGACTAACTGTAATAACTTGTATCACTTCAATTCATTATTGATATGCATAGTTGATGACCAGACAACAAAGATAGACTAACTTATGATGGAGTTTTGTTCTCTGAGCTGGATTGTTTGGTCGTGAGCATTCATCGTTCTTCTGAACGACATCATCAACACAAACTTCAGATAGAAGTGAAGTGTTCGAATTTCTCCATATGTGTTTCACAGCTTATCCTGTACACCTCGATGTTGATTGGTTCTTGTTGACCTCAAATTTGTCATTGTTTACTACTTTGTTTTGGTTGTGTCTCCCATTGGTTTGATCAAAATCAAATCAAACCATCCAGCTCAGAGAACAAAACTATCGAAATCATCTACCTGAGCTTCAAATCTTCTCCACCATCTCATAGACTAACCTACATTGTTTTTGACCACTGAATGGTATATAACGAAATGCAAGTACTTCGTTTAGTTCAACACGCCTCAATCGTAAAATATAGAAATTACCAGTTTATAACTAGAATAACATTTAGAACGTTTCATGGGAACTGACTAATGTGACCTAATAAGCTTTTACCCATCATATTGAAAATGCTAAATCCCAATCTCAATCTGGAAACCTACTTCTTCGAATAAAACAATTGTTTGCTCCTAGGTTTCTTGAACTGCAGATCGCGCTACGACAAAATTAACAAGTTATCTCTTTCACATACAGAAATTTTCACTTTCTTGTCTACCTAATAATAGAAAACAGGGTTGGTAGGGAAGCAGGGACTTATTGATAAGCTTAAATCGGACAATAAAAATACCATTACCTGGTTAATATTCTTCTGTGATTATAGCCTTATTCATATAAGGAAGTTTGTATTAAATCTACTCATACCCGGTCGATTTAAGTGAAACCTACTGCCATATAAGTAACAGGTAACGTATCGTTTTCAGTAAAACAAAATATTTCAAAATATACGGAGAACTTTAAATTACATATGAACAATTAATGAGATTCCGTGATAGCCTGGATCGGTAAAACCCTTTATTGATATAAGTTATTGAATTGAGTTAGGAAGTAATCCGAGATATACAAGGATCTCAATAGTAGTACCGAGTCGGCAACTAGGCTTTCTACTGAATAACACTCAAAATTAGATTAGCAACTGAGTTTCAATTTTACTTTGATCACTGAATGTTTTGTTATATTAATGAAAAATACTCCCTGGTGTGTGCTACGGATGTCGACAGATATAATCAGTATGCATTATCAATCGATAGTGGACTGCCTATCATCAGAAGATTGAGAAGATCGAAGAAAAGAGAATGAGAACGGATAATGATTGGTGTGGAAACGAAGGAACAATGAAGTCTGAGACAATTGATGGATATTTGCAAATGAAGTATTTACTGTACAGTTCTCAGATTTTATTATGATGTTCTGAAACTTCGTGTCCAAATACATTCAATTGTCCCCACATGTTTTCACGTTCACCACATTCAACTAACCACAATAGTTACTTAATTTGATCATCTCAATATAATTTGTATTAAACTAGTGCTAAGATTAGTTGGCAGAATAATAGATAGGCAAATTGAAGGTCTCTTCATTTGCATTTCTATCTTGAATCGATTTTTTTCAACTTCAAACACTCATTTGATTGTACTGCGATTTGGAAACTTATTTTTTAAGAGTTAGTTATATATAATATACCCTTGTGGATCAGGGTAATTTTACATTGGTTTTCAGGAGAACCGGCACCAAGCAGATTCTTACGTGACAACCCAAACAGTACAGCTCAATCCCGTTTAACAGGAGAGCCAGACACCGTCCAGGCTTAACCCGAGCAGTACGGCAGCAGATACCACCCAGGCTTAAAATTTCTAACCCGAATAGTACAGCTCAATCCCGTCTCACAGTAAAACCAGACACCATTTGAGCTTCAACGTTACAATCTGAATAGTACAGCTCAGTCCTGTGGCGCAACCACACAAATACCAAGCACCCTAGTGGACCATTCGCACCATTCATATACACATTCACATCACATGTGTAATTATCCCGATCATTGATCGCGTGAATCAATTATGCACAGCACGAACAGGTCAAAGTTGATCTATTCCGCTTACACGACAGTCAAGCTCATTAATGTTAGTAATGGCGACATGCCTTACAATGTCTCAATGACAATGGCCCTTGAGAACACTAAAAAGCAACCATCAGTATGAATGAAATCGGTTAACCAGCAAACCAATTTTGTGCATGAACAGTTAGCAAAACTAACTAAAATAATCATGCTGAACCATCCACAATATCAATAGCGAACCTACAATCTCATATGAGACCTTCAGCTCTACATAGCAATATAGCTCATAGCATTTTCTCTACAGAGTCCAATTTAACTTAGTATATTTTGGAAATCATAGTGTGCTATGCATATCTGTACTGCTGTCGCTCTTGATCTTGAATTCTATTACTCCTTTATATGTACTTTGATACTATTTCTCGAACATACTCCAAATTTTTAGTCTCCTAAATTATTATTAATACTATATTATTTCGGTCTCTTTTCTGTTATTCATTTTATTAAATTCATCTCTTCATACTAATTTAGTACATATAACGACCTCTACCAACGCATGTTTGTACCAACCTCTACGTTAGTCAAAATGATTGAATATGGTGAAGTTAATCAACGATTTGATCACTTAATTCACAAGCTTTACACTATGAGTTCTAATCTCATTTTACTCAATTGATCACAGATATCCAGATCACTGTACCAATTAAAACAAGTATGACTAAATCACAAAACATAATAAATTCTTTATAATTGAAATGCACAGTTTGATGATCAAGAAACCATTTTTATCTGGATTATACACAAATCATTTATCTTAAAAGCATCCTGGATTTTAACGCAATTCACATTATGGAATCCGCGGGATATCGATCTATCAATAAAAAGATGAGTATACTGAGCAGTAGTTCGTTCTGTTCTACTTTACGGCTGCGAACAATGGTTATTAAGAGTAGAAGATATTCGTAAGCTACTATTAATCGATCACAGATGTCTGAAAAATATTGCTTGCATCTGCCGGAATAACCGCGCAAGTAATAGTGAGGTTGGACTCACAGAGTATTAGGGAATGATGGAAAATCAGTTGATGAGGTTGTGAATCTTCAAAGACTGAGATGTTCGGACCACGTGTTACGTATGCCTGAGCACCGATTATCACAACGCGCAATACTGATCAGTGTTGGGGATAGTTGGAAGAAAGTTAGGGGCGGTCAAACCAAAACATCGCATCAGTCCTTCAAGTCACTAACTTCTAGTTTGAGCCATGTTGGTAGATGAGATGGTGGAGTATGTATGTATTTACTGTATAGTTCTCAGACTTTACTAAGATGTGCTGTAATGTTGTGTTCTAGTACATTCAATTATCCACACTTATATTCTCGTTCACCGAAAGCCATACTATGTTAGTTCCCAGTTGATGTGAAGTAAAGTAATGTTAACTTTTATCTAATATACATTTATCTCAAAGTCTACCCAGTGACCATAATTACAAAACAAAATGGTAGCTTAATTCAAAGATAATGAATTTCTCTAACTAGTGATATCTTCCATTTTGATGAATGATGTTACAACAAACATGAAAATAATCAGTGAAACTATATATTATAGACGACATTTGAACGACACCAAAGTCACCTTAAAAGTATCTACCTACTTACTAGGGCTAAATGAGGGTTATAAATCAGTTTGAAGAATAAGAATTATGATTTACAGTTGATGATTAAGGTTCACAATCAGGTTTAGGGTTTTCATCACGAACTGGTATTGTGGTGTGAGTTACTTATATCCATATAAGTAGTATATAACTATGGTCAGGCATAGAATGTATTACAGTAGAAGATCGTTAAGGAAAGCACGGAATTGATATGAAAATGAATGAAAAATGAAACCTAAGACAATGGACTGATATTTTCAAAACGAAACAGTCAAGTTTGAGATGATGGATTGATATTTTACAAATTAACTATTTACTATATGGTTCTCAGATTTTATTAGGATGTTCTGTAATTTCGTGTCGAATATATCCAATTGTCCCCACTGGTGTTATTGTTCTCTACAGCATAATTTAAAATGCTAAAACTCTATTTAATCAAATGGATGAATGAATTTCGCGCTAAAATCCAAGATCTTTTATCATCTTATACCTGATTGATTCATTCAGAAATTATAGTCTCGCCTTCGATGATCAATCATCATCAGTCAATTAGTTTCTTACCATCACCAATGATTAAATAAACAAAAACATCATGGTATAGTTTGTTTGTTTATTTTTTCTTTAAAATAAGATTATATATATATACCGGCGGCCTGCTTGAATATCTGGGCTACCTGTTCCTCCCATCTAGATATTTCGTCAAGTTATCTGTTTTCTTGTTTGTTTTAACACATTATTATGTGTATTGAGCTCACAACCTATTCAGGCGCGTTTATGAAAACTTTACAACTTTTCGCTGTACGGATTACAAAAAAGGTACAACCAGCAACATCATGGTGGCTTGCAATATGCATTAAAACGAATGAACATTATTCAGATGTTGATTATCGAACTCCTAACATCTAACTGGCCACCACTCAATATGTATCGTCAAAATTGATCAAGATATAAGAAAAGGAAACCTGTTGAAATACTTTATGCTGAGAATTCAATATTGTACCAAAAATATAATATTGAATAAAGCTTATAATAATAATAATAATAATCATATCTAATGTAATAGGAAAACACAATATATTTATGTACATGCAATTCGTTTGATTGTTGGCGCTATATTATCAGGCCACCATGATGGTATATATGGAATAATATCTAATTGTATTACACTATTAGTATTAGTATTATTATTATTATGATGATGATGATGATCACAATCAGTATGAATAGGGATATTTACTATTAGTTTATATTGTTGTTCATTTATTTCAATTAAACGTATCAATGCTATACCACTGATTGATTCATTATCAATATTCAAATGATTATCATTATCATTAATAACAATGAAATTATTAATATTTACATTTCGAATCCATCCAATTGGTTTTAACTTTGATAATTCAAATGGTTTATCATTTTTATCTATTTGATAAATTGGTGCATTGTATAAATTACTATAGAAATAGTTCAATGAAAAAGAAAAAAAAAGGAAAGAAAGAAAGAAGTTGAAATGAATAATTCTCTTTTTTTGTGTGTGTGTGTATTCATGATTATCAAACTAAAATAAAGTTTAGAGTATAATATTTTTTTTTTATTAACAATTGATATTATTTGAAATCCCCAAACTGTCAAATGCCCTGGTACGACCAAGAGTGGGGAAAGTCCACTCACTCTCTCGAAATGTTCTCGTCACATGGCCACGCGTATATATAGCTTCTGCCAGGGAAGTCCTACTCATGGGAGTGTTTTTTATAAAATTGAAAGGACGAAAAGCGAATATCTAGTGCTTTAACTGGGATTAATAGACATGGAGGATCCACTTAGGAAAGTTGGAAAATCCATATTCTAAGCCGATGGTGAACATGGGCTCTAGGATACTGAAGGAATAAATAGCATATGAACCAATCGTTGGTGACCGGTTACCATGAGACTGAATATCCTGACGTTGCTCTACTGCCTTGTGGATTAGACCTTCAGGTCAAAGGTTTCAGGTGTGGCCCTCTAAGAAAACTAATTGGTTCGCTCTGGGCACCCAGGCAGTATCATAGCCCACACAAAAATCAAGTGACTTTGTGTGGCGCATATGTATTCCATGCCACTTTGTACCAATATTTATGTGTTCAAATAAATAAAAATTTCAGATTCGAAATGCTATAATAGCTAATTTATACATTAAGCACATTTTTGTTAAATTAACCTCTTAATATGTTCTTAAAACCATTAAGGTTTAAAAAAGTATGTCACTTTTGAAACTAAACAATGAATGTGACATAATGTGAAAGTTCAGTTAGTATATAAACATTTACAAAAATCTGATTCACATCATGTCCGAAATGAAAATTGTACTTAACGTGATTCTTGGGATAGCTAATGCTGTTTGTGATATCCCCTAAGGTTTTACCGTATTATATAACTTAAGTTTATTTATTTTATTTTACAGATATTCGTAAAAAGAGGCACCAAATACATATGCGCCACATAAATCCTTCGATTTGTGTGAGGGTTGGGATACTACCCGGTTATCCAAACCGAAACAGGTGGTTTTCTTAAGGGGTCTGTTAGGGTTGAAGATCGAGAGAGACTACGGGTTCACGTAGTTTGCGAACGAGAACGAGATTCAGTGACCAACGACCAGTAAGCTATCTATTGATGCGTCCCAGCCCGCTATCTAGAGAGAGAAGACCAAGCTTGGAATGAAATATATTCTGCAACAACCCGAAACCAGCAAACTTTTCTACAAAGACAATTTCAAAACGTATAAATACAATTATATATACATCAATATTGTCATGGAGCTTTGAGACATTTAATCGATAGTTCGTCGATTGACTGCCATTGAAATATTTAAACATTTAGTCGATAATTTCGTCAATCAACTATGTGCGTGGGCGGTAAGAAATACCCACGTATACATGTGCATACAAGCTCCACAAGATAAAATTACAAACTATGAGTTTTTGGGGATCTACCGTCCCCAACAGGGTCACACCCGGAGCCTTCAACCTAAAGGTCTGATCCATAAGACAGTGGAGGACACATAAGGAGATGCAGTCCCATGGTAGCCGATCACCAACGATTGGTTCATACGCCATTTGTTCCCTCAGGATACTGGAGCCCATGTGCACCATTGGTTTGGAATGAGTGTTTTCCAACTCCTCTAGATGGACTCTCCATGTCTACCAATCCGGTTAAAGCACCGGTAGTCGCTTTTCGTCCCTTCAACTTAATAGAAAACACTCCCATCACGAGAATACAGTGAGTAGGACTTCTCTGGCAGAGGCTATATATAAGTGGCCATGTGAGAGCATTTCGAGAGGGATAGCAGACTCTACCTACTCTCGGCCGTACCAGGCATTTGGGGGCTATGACTTAAGTGATGTAGTAAGTTGACTTCAAACTATTGGATTTTTTTCGGTTCACTGTAAAAAATTCTTTCCACCTATCTAAACTGCATCACGATGAGCCAAAAAGTCAATCATCCGCATTTATTTATTTTAACACATAGGTATCGGTACAAGGAGGCACCAAATATAAATGCACCACACAAATCTCATTTGATGTGTGTGAGGGTTGCGATACTGCCCGGGTGCCCAAACCGAAGTAGGTGGGTTTTTTTTAGGGGACCACACTCGGAACCTTTGACCTGAACGTCTGATCCACAAGGCAGTGGAGCATCGTAAGGAGATGCAGTCCCATGGTAGCCGGTGACCAACGATTGGTTCATACGCCATTTGTTCCTTCAGGATACTGGAGCCCATGTGCACCATTGGTTTGGGATCCGGTTGAAGCGCCGGACATTGGCTTTTCGTCCTCTCATTTTCGTAAACAACACCCCTGGTGCTAGAAGGCAGTGAGTAGGACTTCCCTGGTAGAGGCTATATACGCGTAGCCATGTGAGAGCATTTCGAGAGGGAGAGCGGACTCTTCCCACTCTCGGCCGTACCAGGGCATTTGGGGGCCAATCATCCGCAACGTAGAACTGGGGTTAAATTTTACAAAGATTCTTCATAGAACCTATACAGGCCAACATTAAACATAATTTATCGTCTTGTAAATTTTATCGAGAAAGAATGAATTACAGCTTGACGGGTGAGTTGTGTAACCATATTTTTCTTTATTGTACAGTCAATGAACCAATCTCCAACCTGTAAAATTCCATTAATCATGTCATTTTGTCATTTTTGTACTACAAATTGTTACCAATATTTTTCGATTAGCTAAAACGTCTAAAGTCGGTGCTATAGGATACTTTGGTCAGAGATGTTTCGATGACAGTACTGATGACAGTAACTAGTACGCCATAATTGTACCGAGATCAAAGAATACAAACTGTGCAATATCGAGATAAATAAGTTTAAACTCACCTGACACTAATTGATGTTTTTAAAGCATCAATATTCCCCTTCAACACTATTTTAATCGGTACATATCTTCGCCGAATAACTCCAGTAAAGTGTGTACGTGCTGTCAACTCTTGACCAATATAACATCCTTTGGAAAAACTAACTCCACCGGATAAATCAGCATTCGCTTCGAACGGTAATGTATCATTTGTAATGAATTCTTTAATACCTTCTGGTAAGCCCAATTCCCAACGTGCATTGTGATACAGGTTTATATCAAGTGGTTGTGTATTACATGATGGAAAAATACTACTGACTAGTGGTGAGAAAAAAGAAATGGAATGAGAATAGAAAAGCTCCATTAAAAATAATAAGAATATATTCAGCGACTGACAATGGTAAGGTGAGCGGGAGAACAAAAGAACTGAAGTCACACATTTGGATTAAAATTAATAATTTGTACTATGCTTTATCAGCTGACCATCTATTCAATTTAGAAAATAAAATCCTGGTCAATTTGAAACCACCAACAGATATGACATTTTAATGTTTCTTTAAGATAAAGAAATTTGATAGGATACGGCATCAAGAAATGAACAAGATTGCAAATGGTTTCGATTTTGAATAATCACTTCGAGCTTGTAAGACTACTGAACTGCTCGATCACTGGGAATTCATCAGAGATACTGCAATTGACTACCTAATACAAATCCAAAACAACCTGTAGTGCCAGTAAAATGTCACTGAGCCCTAGCCAAATCATCCGACAGTTAGTTAGGTCACTGAATTTCGAACGGTTCATCGATCCCCTTTATGGTCGAGGACAACCAACGAGCATCAACCAATCGCACGCCATGAACTGGCCCATGCGGTGGCGGTCACACTTTCGTTTGTACCTACTCTAACTAATATACTTCTGTAATAACGTCCTTTGTGTTATACGGCTTTCAAAGCAGCAATAGTACCTTGATACGACGAAGAGGTAAACCACGTTAGGTGCTGGACACGAGGTGTGACTTCGAAGTTAACTGTTGGTCACACTATTCTCGTCTAACTCGAGTAGGCCCCCAAACATTCAACATAGATCATCTTGTTTAGTGATCTACAAACCCTTCTTTGCTTCACGCATCATACCGAAAACAAACGACTACTTCATTTATATCCATGTCCCAACGTCCGAACCCAATATTTGGTTTAAAAGATGCTGCAGTGACACGACAAGAGCGTTTCAATGCCGCCAATTGATCATCGCTATCTCTGAACGGATCATCAGACCTTAGTTTCGATATTACTTAAGCTGAAGCTAAACCTACGTATCTATGTCGTTAAAAGTGTCCTAAGATTAATGTCGAACGCAATTGGATTTCACTGTAGCAGATACCTGTCACTAGTGATACTAACAGATTTATCCAGTTACACAAATTTACCAAACACTTCGAACGAACTATCAAAAAGGGAGCACACAAGCAAATACTTCTATTGAATTTCGCACCTCGATCCTCGGTTTACCACATTATTTATTTAAACACACAAACATTGGTACAAAAAGCACCAAACAGATATGCGCCACACAAATTATTCGATTTCTGTGAGGGCTATGATACTGCCCGGGTGCCCAAACCGAAGCAGGTGGTTTACTATGCCAAAAACAATGTCGTTTTCACACTCAAGATCAAAAATAATTTCTCCAGGTAACATATCTAAACGAAAAAAATTTATTTGAAGATATGAGAAGCACAATAACAGCAACTTATGAATAAAAGAAAGTCAGGATTTCCTCATTTACAATATCCCTGCATGTCACATTGTCTAGTAACAAATGTTGAAAGAATTTTGCATATCAAGTCTCTATTTGGTTAAAAAAAATGCAGCCGACTTAGCGTCAGAATCTTCTAACAGTCACATGTTTATCTTTCTTGGGATAATAAATCGCCGACGATGTTCGATGTAGACTATCAAAAATAAATATTTTTTAGTGATGATACAACGTGCTCATGATAAAGACCAGCTTATTATATAACCATAAATAACAAGACATAATGATAAGTGAAATTATGATCACGTCTAGTATAAATGTGAACCGGTAAGTCAATCAACCTAATCTTTCTTTGATAAAATCTAAACAAAATAATTACCATTTGTATTAGATGTTGACAGTATGCGTCCAGACCAACCAGATATACCCCTAGGATCTGAAGCGAAAAATATCAACTGTTGTTGATCACTAATATCAGGTGAATTCACTGGCAACCATGCTTTATAATTATCCAGTTGATTTGAGTGTCCTGATGTCGGCATAGCGACCCAAGGGTACACTGATAAATCGGTGTCTATCTTAACCTAGAAAAATGTTATTTACAATAAACAAAAATGGATTATCAATGGACTTTTTTGAAAAAAACTAACAGTTAAACATTTGAATGATCAAATAAGGAAAGTCGATGTATATTGAAACTTGACATCTCAGTATGTATAGTTCTCATTAATAAAATTTGGGACGGTAAATAAGAAAATGAACATGTGGGACAATGTATTTAGATGAACTAGAAGTACATATTTGTATACTAAGAATCGAGTTACGTTTATTCTACAATCATTCTACATTATTTGGGCGACTAAGCCTGGTGGGTTTGTATGGAGAACAAAATACATAGATCTTCTGGAATAAGAATATATTTACGATGTATGTTGTGAAGAGTTGAATGCATCTATATTAACATATTTCATTTAAGATTACACTGTACTACAAATGAAACCATAAAGTTCCATCACATTGCAGTCCCCAAATAGGAGGTTAGTAGTCCTTAAAATAAGGTCTACAATCTTGTCAAGCAACAAATCATACTTATCTACACCGCTCTACGTCTATGCGCTACTTACCCGGTTTCATTAAATGCGACCAGTTCTTTTAAAAACACATCAAACACTAGCAACTTACGCATATCTATTACTTCCAAAGGCTATCTTTTCACAGCCATTAAGTAATAGAGAGTAAACTTCTGCACAAGACACACCCAACGACAATTAGACAGGAATCTTACTCGTACTGAAGATAGCATCACCCAGCACAGGCCAAACGAGATTATTTTTATACTTTCCTAGATTTTGAACAGTACTTTTATATCAGGCCTGGTTAGGCACACAGGGTAAGTGAAGTTAATAACTCACTTATCAGGTACTTAGTCATGAACCGCAATTTAAGTGTTGAGGGTTATGAAACTGCCTAGTTGCTTAAACCAAAGTAGGTGGGGCGGAGTTTGAACCTGGGACAATGACAGAAAGACGAACTTTCTAGCCACTAAGCTATCGTGACGCAATCAACTATAAAATTAGGTAGAACAGTTCTGAATCAAAATTAAGCATAAGCTATGTGGGTAATATTTCTAAATCATAAGTACTGTTAAGTCACCATTAAACACTATAATTGACCATAAATACTTCCGTCAAATGACGTGATCAGAAAATTCATGCAATTAATTTTTAAACCACATTAAAGCAACGAGAAATATAGCAAATAACATTGAAGTGAAACGTACTTTCCCACGTAAATTATACTGTTTTAAGTGTTTAACCAGATCAGGTACGCATTTGACGTCAACTTCAACAAGATAATCAGACTGATTAGTTGATAAACGATTAGTATGATAGATAAATGCATCAGTTAGAACTCTACCCTAGAATATATAATAAAAAAACTATATCTGACAGGAAGGAAATTCAATGATATATACCTTTGAATTGAGAAACAATGAATACATGAATGAATTAGGTTGAGTTATAGATTTGATATCATTTGTTATAAGTCCTTGTAAAAACTCATTGGCTGATGTGCCGTGAACACATATAAGACTTCTTTCTTTTAATTGACTTATACTCAGCAAACGTTTAGGGAGAAAAGTAAGATGACTGACACGAAGAGAATTTCCGAAAAAGACCATGAGATTCAAGTCAAGGCACAAAAACAACCTAGAAGAAACAAATACAACTTAAATTATTATTACATGGCAGAAATAAACATATTGTTCCATATTTAGACGAATAGTTTGTTACTTATCTTTGAAATGACTAGTAGAAATAACAATTACATCTTATCAGAAAAAGTTTTACGCTTCCAAATATGAAGGTCTCGATATCAGTAACCCGATTAATCTACTTATGACAAACGCGTTAAGCAATACATCAGCACTCCTAGGACTTAATGATTTTTGTGGTGTAGTGTTCTCTAATAATTTTTTTAATTGAGTTCAGTTCAAGAATATAAACGTTATGTAAATCTATACAGACAAACCACTACCTAAAGTCATTGATACGAAAGAATCTATTATATTTGTGCGGACTCATCGTAAGATACTAAGCTACATTTCAGTTTAAGTGAAGTAATTCTTTTTTAAAAAATTGATTTTGTACATCATGTCACATAGACTGGTAACCAAATTGTAACTTTTTCACTAGAATCCGATAATCACTGAACAACCAGACAAACTTGAACTTGGTAACTACCATGTGACCAACTAATTGTAAGCTTGTGGTGGACTTTTTCCGTTGTCATACTAACACAGCGTGACATTTTTTGTGGTCGTTTCCAAAATACACTACTACACAAGCTGTATTATTATGAAAACGCCCGACCATAGAAGAACATTGATTTTCGGTCCACATCTTTTCTTTAGAAATTCGTGAACAAAGTAAGAAATAGAGTTGTTATCAGTGCATTCGAGAGGAATTCAGACCACCTATAGGTGGTCAACTATAGTTGATATTATTAGGCTGCCTCTTGGAAGTAAATTCACAAAGCCAGCAGAAACACAAGACGTATTACTCCCAGGTGACTTCGTGATTGCCTAGATCCCAGAATTTCTCGTATTCAAAACAGACAGTAGTCTCATAGTTGTATCAAGACCATGTGTAAAAAGCAAATATATCACACTAAGCTAAGAGCACACTACCATCAGGTCATGTATATCCAATACGTTTGTGAGGAGCTGACATAAACTGACTGGTTCCTTTGCGCTCGCTTCTTGTTGTTTCTGTTTCAGACTAGGACCACACTCAATTTTTTAAGCCACAGGGTCACTAAAAATCCACTCCCGTTGAGTGAAAGGTTTGATTTTATACTTAGTTACGTGAAACTACCGTAAACACACAAGAAGTAACGTACCAGTTAAACTGAGCACTGAGATAAAAATGGTTCAAATGGTTCTGGATGGAATCGAAGCTTTCAGTTACCGGCTTCCGTATTTAGTAGTAGTGGATCAACAATGTCTTCAGGAAGGACCCTAAGTATATTAACGGTAATAAAGGAAAAAGAGAAACAAGTTGGTAAATCATAGTGAAATACTATCCTTACCACTTAAGAATATGTTAAGTTTTCTCTCAAAGGACTCCTGGGAAATCGCTCTAAATAGCCCAGTCAGCAGCGAATTCTAACATTTGACTACTCTTAAGAAGTAGCAGGTGTGTCTACAGTTTGTTCTTCTGTGTCGTGTCACCCGTTTCTGGGTGCAACCCCTAAGGTTTGTGTTGAGACTAACCATAAGTAGGAGTCTAAGGGGGTTCCCAGAAGCTTTAGGGATGTTGTGAGTAATCAGGTCACCTCTAAGATTCCTGTACCCTAACATGTAATGTTTCAGTGATTGGAAGCGCTCTTCATAAGATTTGGATGAGTCCCCAGATTGATTTTGTGTTTCGCCATTAGATACATTCCTGAGTGTCTTTATCCTTTTGAATTAAGGAAGGAATACCATGTTTCTGTACTCTAAATGAAAGCGACACGCACGAACGAAAGTTAGTAGACGAAAATGCTAATTTATCTGTTTGTGCAGCTTACTTTTCCGGTTATAGATTGTCCCCAGTTATTGTTAAGCACGCGATCGTCCCATACTATTGTAGTGACCTACTTTTATCAACAGAACGCGATTGGTTCGATGAAAACAATTATTATTATAACCAATTGTACCAGTGACTGTTTCACTGTGCTCGTTTGTTTAACTGTGCTAATAACAGCCATTTTGGTCTTCCATTGTGTTCCATTGCTTCTACGCGGTTTTCGACTACGCGCGTGTCTTTTCTTGCCGATCGCACCTGTACTCCTTTGGCACGATCTCGGTATTCTTTCGATACCACGAGATCGCCAGCAAATACATCTCGACTAAAGCCATCATCTGCCTTCTGATTTTTGGCCTACTGGAATCTTATTGGTCTATTTGCACGTAGTCTTGTAGCGGTGTTCATAGTCAAGCTCAACTCGACACCACGCTACATTTGGTGGGCCAAATATTGGAACACGCCTCAACCTCAGTCAAATCTTTCAAAGAAGGCAATTCGGTGAGTCTATTGTTTTATCTATCCACGTCTGTCATATATTTTCATATTAATTTTTAATATATAATATATTTGACATGACGGATAACGATAAGAATAGTATTAATATAATAGACTCCGATGTACGCGTACCGAATCCTCGGCACTTTTTATTCGCGTGACGATAAATTCCACGCCTTATTCGAGAAATTCCCCAGAATAACTAAACCACTCGAGGAGATTTCATCGGTGACCAATCGTGTGATACACCACATAGTCAGCCGCGGACCACCAGTCACGGCAAGACCACGCCGACTGGCACCGGACAAATTAGCTTTCGCTAAACGTGAGTTTGACAATTTACTATCTGCTGGTATTATTCGTCCTTCTCACAGTCCTTGGGCCTCTCCTTTACACATGGTGCGCAAAAAGGATGGGATTAGTTGGAGACCATGAGGCGACTACCGAGCATTAAACGTAGTTACGCGCTTTGATAGTTACCCCATCCCCCACATACACGACATCACGGCATCGCTCAAGGGCACGACTATCTTTTCTAAAATCGATCTGGTACGAGCATATCACCAGATCCCAGTCGCTCTTGAAGACATCGAGAAAACTGCTATCACGACTCCGTTCGGTCTGTTTGAGTTCCTACGAATGCCATTTGGATTACGGAATGCTGCTCAAACTTTCCAAAGGTTTATCGATAGCATAGTACGAGACTTGGATTTTGTTCACGTCTATATTGATGACCTGCTAATCCCATCATCAAACGTAGATGAACATTATCAACACCTTACGCTATCATTCCAACGCCTTTTGGATAATGGAATAGTAGTCAACCCAGAGAAATGTGAATTGGGTAAATCAGAAATAATATTTCTGGGTCACATCATCAGACAAGAGGGTATTCTGCCTTGCGAGGACAAAATTCGAGCAATCAAGGAGTACAACGTGCCGTCCTCAATCAAGGAACTGAAGGCTTTTCTCGGTTTGGTTAACTTCTACCGACGTTTCATCCCTCACGCGGCAGAACGGTTACGACCACTAACCGATTTACTACGCGGTAATCCACGCAAATTATAATTGAACGATACCGCACGTACTGCATTCTCAGAGATCAAAACGGCTCTCGCTGAAGTTACACTCCTCGCTCATCCTGACCCATCAGCCGCACTTAGTATAGCGGTTGATGCATCAGATTTCATTGTAGGAGCCGTCATGCAACAGAATATCTCCGGTAGTTGGCAACCGCTTGAATTTTACTCACGACGCCTTACTCCCACGGAGACGAGATATAGCGCTTTTGGTCGCGAACTGCTTGCAGCCTACTGCGCCATCAAACATTTCCGGCACGCAGTAGAAGGACGCCAATTCATTTTATTCACCGACCATAAGCCCTTAACGTATGCCCTGCATACCAAGTCTGACCGCTACTCACCACGAGAGTGCAGACATTTGGACTATATCTCCCAGTTCACGACAGACCTTCGTCACATTAAAGGCGAGTCGAACTATGTTGCCGATGCTCTTTCACGTATCCAGACGAATGCAGTTACTTTACCGGTGCTCGATCTTCCTGCTATGACGGCCGCGCAAGCAAACGATCCTGTCTGTACAGAAGCACCACAATCTTCGTCCCTTCAGTGTCAGGAAGTACCCCTAGCTACTAGCTCAGGTACTATCCTATGTGATATTTCTACCGGTCTACCTCGACCCATCGTACCCTCTACCTATCGCCGTCTCGTCTTCGATGCCCTTCATGGATTGTCTCATCCAGGTATCGCAGCCACATTACGTCTCATCGCTGCACGATACGTCTGGCCGTCCATGAATAAAGATGTTCGTATGTGGGTAAAGCAATGCTTACAGTGTCAACGATCAAAAGTGCACAGGCACGTAGCTGCCCCCATTGGCACGTTCGCTACGCCTGATGCTCGCTTTGATCACGTTCATATAGACATTGTAGGACCATTGCCACCATCGCATGGGTATGATCACATACTCACGTGCATTGACCGTTTTACAAGATGGCCCGAAGCTATTCCCATCACGTCTATCACGGCGGAGACAGTTGCTCACAGCTTCGTAGAACGATGGATAGCATTGTACGGTTGTCCCTCGACTGTCACGACTGACCGAGGACAACAATTTGAGTCCGCATTATTCTCCTCACCGACCCGGCTGCTTGGTACGGAACGCATACGCACTACCGCCTACCATCCAGCATCGAATGGTTTAGTCGAACGGTTTCATCGCACACGAAAACGCCAATCGGTACGAAACCTCACCGCTCGTTCTCTTAGGCATCAGAACGAGTTTGGAGGCAGATATCCAATGTTCCGCCGCTGAACTTGTATACGGCACGACATTGCGTCTGCCTGGGGAATTCTTCACACCACGAAGCAGTAATGATTTCGGTAAATCAGACTACGTCCATCGACTGTCTGCATTTATGCGAACGCTGTCTCCGGTGTCAACTCGAATACAACATCGACAGGTCGCTCTCCCTCGAGAGTTATCTACATGTTCACATGTTTTCATACGAGTAGATTCGGTACGCAAACCTCTACAACAGCCTTACGGAGGCCCTTTTCACGTGATCTCTCGTCACGAAAAGACCTTCAAGGTTGAT